AAGGAGTGGGGTCGCCACCAAGAGTGGGGTCGCCACCAAGCTCGCTAACCTCGCTAACAATATTGAAACACCATCCCTAACAACTCGCCATAGGACTCGTCAATTTCAATTCGATAATCCCTTGACGAGTAGAGAGAGAAAGAAAAGCCTGCATCGTATTGGTTCTCAATTTTCATTCATATGTGTATCTCAGCAAACCATTGCCCATTCCAAAACTTCATTTCCAAATAAATGATTCCTACCCCCACTACAATTTTGTTTACAAATATAGTCACATTCTCAAAACTGTGATTTCAATTAAATCTTTTTAACCCTCATTTGATAATTCTCTACAAATTTGGTCCCAAGCATCAAACATTGATTTAAAAGAACCAAAAGGACCCGACATTTAAATATTATACTTATTTTTATGTAATTGATTTATATTATATTAATTGTTGGTGGTTTAAAAAAATAAAATTTGATTAATATTTGTGCATAAAATATGTTTGTGTATTAAAATAAAGTAATTTAATTAAATTAGAAAATTAAAATTAAAATAAATGGAGTGCTAGGAGTGTTACCACTCCCTAACAAATGCTAAGATTAAGTGTTAAATGAAGAAAAATGAGGTGTCATTCAAAAAGTTGATGTGACAAGGTGTTAGGAGTGTTACCATTCCCATTAGTCTTAGTATGGAATATCAAATTCTCAGCAACTCTAATTTTTTTTTATTTTGAATATTGTTAAAAGATTTGTGTTTTTAGATTTTTTTTCTATGATGTCCTCTTTATGTTTTTTTAACGGTAAATTATTATATTCTTTATTTCCACCTGGGTCAGGATACGTAACCCATTACCTCTCAATAGAGAGGTAGATTATTCTATTCCTAATTTCCACCTGGGTCAGGATAGGTAACCCATTACCTTTCAATAGAGATGGTGAATCATTTCCTCTAAACCAAATCACGTTTGATATGTCATCTTTATGTGGAATAATTTTCTTTCATTTTTCATATCTATCCGGTTGACTTCTTTACAATTTTTCGCATAGATGCAAACAATATTAACAATTTTGTTAGAAATTCTCCACGTATTTATGACATGTGTCAACATGGGCAGAAGGCAGGGATACTCCTTAATTTTATCGGTTTTGTTGGATACATCAAATATTTTCCAAAACTTCTACTTTGTAACTCTAAAAGTTATGTAATGTTTACCATTTCGAATTACTTTTCATAAAAAGTAGCTCGAAACTCAAAATTATTTTCCAACCTAATTACCTTTCGAATTTAATATTCATTTGATCCATTATTGAAAAAACACGACTCCATTACTTTTATTAACTTTTTATTCCTTACTCACAATTTTGTTTCCAAGCAATGGAAATGAAATTGCAATTTAAACAATTCTGTTTATATGTACCCATATACGATTTTAATTAAAACACAATCTTATTTTTTATAAATAGTTCAAAAAAAATTGATTTTATCGTCGTCTTACACGGGAGTTTAATACCTTTTGTAAATAGAAATTTTATTAATAATAACTAGATAATTTATGGAGTATTTATATACAAAATAAAAAAATTATATAAAAAATTCATTCCATCCATACAACAACCAAGCAATCTACCATGATTAACTTATTACTTTGCTTATTGTATTACCCTTTCAAAGTAACAGCCTCATAGATTGTAAAAAAACAAAATAGACCGGCACAAGTAGGCAAACCATACATGCATTTAGAAATCCATTTAAAACTTCTTCCATTGAATTATTCGTTTCCATAGTCTTCATAAGTGACATTGCTTTGAACGTCAATGTTGACCACATCACCCCCGCCACCACCACCTCCTCCTCCTCCTGTAAGGCTTTGGACAAAATCCTGGCCCAGTTGTTGCATCATACCATCGACAAACCCCGCCACCATTACATCTCCCAATCCATTACCTTGATTGGCAACAGCAGGTCCTGCAGGTTGTTGTGCCATCTGGTAATTTTGACCGCCAACTTGTGTCGGTGACTGTACGGGACGCTGGTAACTTTGGACTTGGACACCACCAGCTACCGGAGTCTGTGGTGGTTGCCACTGACTTTGAACACGCCCAGCACTCATGCTATGAGTGAGACCCTGTCCAGCCATCGGAGCTCCACCAGCTGGAAACGACTGATAATGTTGCAGAGCCTGCGGCGGAGCACTCATGCTATGCGTGAGACCCTGTCCAGCCACCGGAGCCCCACCAGCTGAAAACGAGTGATGATGCTGCAGAGCAGGAGGAGTAGGAACCTTCGCGGTGGCACACTGTAAATGAACATCAAATTCACAAGAAACACAGCGGTAGAGCCACTGGTCGCCAGAGCCAATGCGACTGCACACATCACAAGAAAACCCCAACTTTTCCCCATACGGAGAGGCAAAAGTAAGACCAAGGGGGTGGGGGTGGTTAGGATGTGTGACCCTCATGGGATTGGAAGCACAGAGAACATGCAAATCAAAATCACAGGTATGGCAATGGTAGCTGAACCGAGTTCCGTGTTGGGAGCAGGCATCGCACCGGAAGAACCCACCGGGGTAGATAGGGGTGGTGAGGAGGGAGAGGGTGTGGGCGGGGTGGGCGGGGTGTGTTATTAAGTCTGGAAACTTGGAACATGATGGATGGATGAAGAAGTTGCAGGGTGTGCAGGTGTAGATGTGCTCCGGTGGAGAGATGTTGTGATTGCAGCCGGCACAGGTGGCGGAAGGGTGGTTGTGAAGGTGAAGGGAAGATGATAGTTGTAGGAGATGCGGGTGAGATGAGTGCTGGATTTGGGTGCTGTGCATCAACTTCCCCATCTTTCTCTTGTGTGGTATGATGTCAATGGATAGACAAGGTCACATGGAGGAGTAAATAAAGATTATTATTGCAGGGTGGAGGAGTTGACTTTTGAGACGTTTGGCCAAGTCAAAGTAAACTTGTACTCGTTTGTTCGTAGAATTGGCCAATGGGAAGAGTAGAGACTATGTCGACGACTATTGCTGCATCATGGATTCGTGAACTAATATATTATATTAATACGTTATTATAAAAAAAAAAAAAAAAAAAGTGGTTGACCTTTTTAGTATACAACAAAAGGCTTACATTCTTAAGAAATAGTAAAATGGTTTACGTTTATTGTCACATCTATTTTTTGTTTTGTTGCTATTACAATTGATTTTTATTTATTTATTTATTTTTTTTTGTGTGTTATGTAACGTGTTGTCATTTAGATATTTTAGCGTTTAATAAGGGTATATACGAAATTCTCCTTTAGATATTTATCGATTATAATAAGGGATATTAACAAAACTAGCCACATAGATATTAACAGATAATTAACCATATGTGAAGATAAACAGTGGTGGAGCTTGGACATTTATTATGGAGGGCGAAAGTATAATATATATGACAATCGGAGAGGAGGGGGGCCGCATCATAAATTTTATATTTTTAGGCTAAATATGTAAAGTAAAGAGTAAAATTTTCTTCTTTATTCCGGTCCAAAAGTACAAACTAAAGAGTAAGAGCTATTTCTAACAAAAAAATCAAGAGGGCCCCCCCCCCCCCCCCCCCCCCGCAAGCAAGCTTCGTCCTTGAAGATAAAGTTAAAGAAACTAGCTAAAAATAATTTTTTTTAAACAATCAACTTTCGAAATGAGGCATACATACCCTAATCGGTTTTAGTCGTCCCCCATATATATACACCTTATTTCCAGAATGTGATATCCACTAGATCTTGTTTCCAGAATGTGATATCGACTACATCTGGTAATAGTAATGAATTCATTGTTTGTTGAAGAAAATAGCTTCAGATGATGAAAAAGTTGTGTTGTGGGTATGTTATGTGTATTTATATGTTTTGTTAACATTCTATCAATTTCGATAGTATAAAATTGTAAGCCACAACAGTAAATAATTGCCCGACAGACGATGATCTTGTCAGGAACATGAAGAACTTCTCTGGAATACATTTAACTTAGGGTCAAATACCTAGATATCAAGTAAAAGTAAATATTTCGTCATATTTTGCATTGAAAATGAGGATATGTTCCTTTATGGTTGAAATTCATGTCCGGAACATGATATAGTAGTCTGGAACACAAAGAATTTGTCTGAAACACTAAGAACCGGTGTGCAACACATCTAACTAATCTGTAGCACAAAGAACTTTTCCGAACCAAGCTTCCAGAATGTTTTATGCTAACTTTTTTTACTATTATTTTAGTATGATCATGTATATGAAGTTATACTACCAACGACTTGCAAATCTAACTTACGTCGGGAAATTCTAGCAAGGCTACAACATATCCCTACATGAAATGCATTTTTCAGGGCATCCTTGAAACATCCCAAAAATCATGACCAAAAATTTCATTTTTAATTATTAAATAAACCATAGTTTCCAAATCATTTCATCCAAAAACATAAGTCGTCGTATCAAATCAGAGTATCATATCAAAATACATGTCAATATATCAGAGTAAAACATCTCATGCTAAACAAATGGTGTGTGTATTGCAGTCATCCCGAGCTTTTCCCCTTCCTACCGGAAGTACATGAAATCAAAACTGAAAACTATAAGCACGAAGCTTAGTGAGTCTCCCCAACTACCACATACCATACACATCATCACATAATCACATAATAACATAACATGGGCCTTGGCCGCTACATCGAGCCCCACCCGGCATCGGACCGAAGTCTGGCGTCGGGCACCGCCCGACATCGGACAGAAATCCAGCAGCAGGCCCCACCCGGCATCGAGCAAAGCTCGGTATACAATCAACAAATACACATAACATAAACATATAAACATTCCTCGGGCCCCGCTCGGCATCGGACCGAAATCCGGAAACATATAACATAACATATAAACATTCCTCGGGCTTTCCCCGACATCAGATCGAAGTCCAGAACATATAAATAAGCACATGAAAGAATCACGAAGACATCAAGCATACAAACATTCCCCGGGCTTTCCCCGACATCACCGAATTTTGGAAGCATATAAACACATAAACCTACATCGGGAACTGCCCGGCATCGAACTGAAGTCCGACGCATGCTAACATACATAAACGGGCCGACATTAGTGCCTTAGACCCGTTCCTAGGAGCAAACTCACCTCGCAAAGCTGAGTGTCGAATCTCACGGTAAGGAATCCCCAACGGCTGCTCCAACGACTCCCCGACTATCATTATCACAACAACACTTAGTCAAAATCGATAATCCTTCTTAGGGTAAAATGACCATTTTACCCCTTGGTCTAATTTGGACCATATCCAAGGCCCAATTCCATCTAATCTTTCCAAAGCCCCTAATGGCCCACTAATGGCTCAATTTTCTAAAATGGGCCCAACTCCTCAAATGGTCCTTTCCCAAAGTCCAAATATATCCTTGGCCCAATAACTGACTCCTTATGGCCTACTAAGGCCCAAAAGCTAAGAAGTCAAAAGTTTGACCCAAACCGAGGCCCAAATGTCGTGAAGTCCAAACTCAGCGAGTACGTCGGGCGTACTCCTCTGTACGCTAGGCGTACAGGCTGTATGGATTGTACGTTGCGCGTACTGGCTTGTACGCCCAGCGTACCACCCTGTTAAGCCATATTCCTCAAAAGTGCTTAATCCTTCAAGACCTTAAGTCCAAATTACATATCTGAGTCCATTAACATGTCCTAACTCATAAAGTCGATTACTTGGTGGCTTGCAACCCACCAAATGGACCCAAACTTGGAATATAGCAACTAACTTCCATGGAAATGACTAGAACTCATGCATGTTCACAAAAGGACCTTAAAGATCGAAACTTTACTACTCATGGGACTCATATATCACTAAGGGTGGCAACCCTAAGCCTAGATACGAAGTTGAGCCATAAAAATCCATTCTTGGTACCTAAAAAGGTCCAAAACTCCATTAACATATATCTAAGCATTCGTGAGGCAAGTTGAAAGCTTTTTACCTCAAATGAGTGCCAAATGGTGGTGTTATCCCAGATCCTTGAGCTCAAGCTACTCAAGTTCTTCTTCTTCAACTTCTTATTCTCCTTCCATGCTCCACATCTCCAAAACAAGCTTCACAAGGCAAAACACACACAATGATGAGGAAAGAGATGCTATCTAGGGTTTCTGAGGTTGAGAGGCTGGTGAGGAGGCTAGGGTTTGAGTCATAATGTTGTATTTATATGGCTTAAACCCTAAAAATTAGGGTTTGGAGTCTGCTTGCGTACGCTACGCATACGCACCTCCGCCCCCCCGCATCCAATGTTGCTCTACGCCCCGCGTACGCCAAGCTTACACCCAACCTACGTCTTCGGGCAGCCCAATCTTATCGGCCCACTTGCTAAAGTCCACCCAAGAATCCAATACTCATTCCATAGCCCAACAATAAATTACAAATATTTAAAATAATTATTACCTCAAGTGACGGATGTTACAATTCTCCCCCACTTGAATCAGATTTCGTCCTCGAAGTCCGCTGTGCCTGGAAATAACTCTGGGTAGTGCTCCCTCATCTCCTCCTCGGGCTCCCAAGTCCACTCCGAGCCCTTGTGGTGCTGCCACTGCACCTTCACCAGCTCTACCCTCTTGTTCCTCAACTCTTTTGTCTTCCTGTCGAGAATGGCTATTGCTCTCTCGATGTAGTTCAGGCTATCATCAACCTAAATATCCTCTAAAGGCACAACTACGAAGTCATCCACTAAGCACTTCCGCAACTGAGAGACATGAAAAGTGTTGTGGATCTGGCTAAGCTCTGCTGGAAGATCCAAACGATAACCAACCCGGCCCACCTGAGCGAAAACCATGAACGATCCGATGTACCTAGGGCCCAACTTGCCCCGCTTCCTGAACCGGATGACACCTTTCCAAGGTGACACCTTCAGGAGGACCATGTCTCCTACCTGAAACTCCAAGTCTGAACGGCGCTTGTCGGCATAATGTTTCTGCCGACTCTGAGTAGTCCGAAGCCTGCTTCGGACCTGCTGGATCTTCTCAGTGGTCTTGAGTACCACTTCGGTACTCCCCATGACTCTCTGACCGACCTCGCCCCAACAGATTGGGGTCCTACACTTCCTCCCATAGAGCATCTCGAAGGCAGGTCGATCTATGCTAGCGTGGTAGTTGTTGTTATACGAAAATTCCGCTAACGGAAGATACGTATCCCAACTGCCTCCAAAATCCAATACACACGCATGCAGCATGTCCTCTAGAGTCTGAATCGCCCTCTCACTCTGCCCGTTAGTCTGAGGGTGGAAAGCGGTACTGAAGTGAAGACGAGTACCCATCTCGTTATGAAACCGCTTCCAAAATCTGGAAGTGAAACGAACATCTCGGTCTGACACAACCGAAACCGGCACTCCATGTCGTGCCACTACCTCACGTACGTAGATCTCGGCTAGCTTCTCGGCCGATATTGTAACGACCCAAAAATCAAGGGTAAAAATTTCATTTTTAATATAGTCAAAACATAGATATCATTTATTCCAAACATCCAAAACAACGTTAATTAAAAACATTTATCAGAGTCCATCCCAAAATCATTCAATGCGGAAAACATAGGTGTGTGCACTGCGATCAATCCGAGCCCTTCTTTCCAAATCGATGATACCTGAAACCAATAAACAAAACTGTAAGCACAAAGCTTAGTGAGTTCCCCAGGGCATACCCCACACATTCCACATAATCACATAATCCATATTAGCTATAAAAGCTGAATAAACCATATTAATCACATATATATACATATCAACATATATGGATGTCGTGGGCTCCTCCTCAGGGTCTTACTCAAGGATGCCATGGGCTCCCCACATGGTC